GCGCGCCCCGCCCGCAGGGCCGCGGGCCTTGAGCCGGCCCGGGACCCTCTCCGAACCCGTAGGGTGGCGCGGCTCTTAGCGGCCAGGGTTGCTCCCTGAGGGTGGGGCCTTCGCCCTGTGGGGACTCTGTGGGTTCGCCTGGCCTGTCTTCTCACCGGAGGGCCAGCGTCTACCCTCCAGGGCGCGGCCAGACTCTGGCTGGCCCCTCTCTGGCGGCCGTGCGGCCTGCAGGGGCGGGTTTACTGGAAGATGGGCAGGGCTCTGGGGCTCCAGACCTCCCTGGTGGGAAGTGCCTGGGCTCTGCGTGGCCAAGGTGGCATCAGTGCCAGGGAGCTTGCCCTGGCTGACCACTCTGAGTGCCCACCGGCCTCCGGGTCCCTGGATGTGGCTAGACAGTGTGGGGGGGGGCAAGTGGACTTTGACCATGTCCCCAGAGGCTTCCTGAGCAGGACGGCGCCTAGAAAAGGGCAGGCAGGAGTGCTGGACCCAGGACGTGCGTCCACCGGCAGAGTGGACCAGAGGCGTCCAGCTGGCCTAGGGCAGTGTCACCACAGACCTTCCTGCTTCGGACCCCGGGGATACAGACAGGCCCAGCCCGCCTGTCGCCTGTCTCCAGCCTGCCCAAGTAGCGCTCTGCTTCTGGGTGGGTGGTCCAGCCTGGCCCCAGGGCTGGCAAGGTGACTGGCGGCACCACCTGGCACTGCTCATGCCCCTGGGCTGGTCACCAGACAGGCGGGGGGGCAGACTGTCCCTCGAGCTCCTGGCGCCAACTGACGCTTGCCTCGCCTCTCCCCACTAACACCCCAACTTCAAACTCCAGTAAATCGGATGTACGCCAGCGGCTGCCGCCTCCTGCTTCCCTCCCAGCCAGGACAGTGGCCTTGGCCCGGCCCCTCCTGAGCCGCGCAGGCCTGGGCTGCGCCCTCTGCTGGCCGAGCGGACCCTGGCCGCAGCCGGCTCTGACCTGCCGCTTGGTGAGCAAGAGGGACTCTGCCCCCAGCAACTGCAGGCTGACAGAGTGGTCAGGTGGGAGCCCCTGAGAAAGTGCTCCGTGCCCCCACTGGGCCAGTGGGAGTCGGGGTGCAGGTGCTGGGGGAGCCCGCAGCGTCACCTGCCCCTGCCGGCTGCACTGCTCCGAGTGTGGGGGGTGGTGAGTGCCTGGGGCAGCCACACACCGGGCCCTGGGCTGGCCCAGGGGACCACGCGCTGCGGGCTAGAACTGGCCACGGGCAGGCGGGGTGGGGTGCTCAGGGGCTCCGGCCCCACACGCGACGGCCATGCCCGGACAGGCTGCGCGGGCGGGAGGGTGGCTGCTGGGAAGGCGGCCGGGGCCTGCACCATCGTGGAGTCCGGCTGTGCCCTGATGTCTGGTCCAGGGTGGTCGCGCCACAGCCCCGCCCCTAGACACGGGCGGCGCCCGTGTGCCCAGGAGGGCCATCCCGAGGCCAGAAGCTCCGGGCAGCAGCAGTGCATCTGCAGCACAGCAGCTTTTTTTCTGGGATGAGACAGTTTCTTCGACTTCCATAAACACAAGAACACCCAGGGCGAGGCTGGGTGGCAGGGCACGGGCAGCCCAGTCCACTGGTGTCCACCGCTGGGCCGGCAGTACCCAGCTGAGAGTGGAGGAGTGAGGCGCGGGGCGGGGCCTTCTCTGGGGGCTGGGGCACCAGAGGGGCAGCTGAGCACCACCACTGGCCTTAGACGCCTCCTCTCCTCCCTGGGGTCCAGACGCCCAGCGCTCGCTCCAGAGGGGCGGGAGGACGGGGAGGGCCGGCGCTAGGGAGGGCGGTGGGTGGCCTGGGGCCGGCGGAGGCGCCCCTCAAGCGCAGCAGCAGGGCACTGGTGGAGCTGGCAGAGCAGGGCTGGGGCGCTGCCCTGGGGGGGAGGGCGGGGGGGGGCCGGTTCCGGGAAGTGGCCCGGACCTTCCCATCCCCAGCTTCAGTCTATGCTTTTTTTAAACTTGCACGCACACAGGATCTGGGGTGCAGGCCAGAGGTGGGGGTGTGAGAGGACTGCCCAGAGTGGGGGAAGGCCAAGCAGATCCCCTGAACACTGCTGAGGGGGCCGCTGCCCCCTGCTGGTCGGCGCCCGGCGGGTCCACCTCAGGGGGCGGTGGCCGCGGAGAGCCGGCCAGCGCCAAAGTAGCCCCTGTCCCAGGGCAGCCGGCAGACTCGCCCCGCGAGGGTGCCAACGTCGAACCCGCGCGGGCGCCCAGCAAGGCCACGTTGAATGCCCCCAGTTGACGCTTTCTGGG